AAATTATTTATTTATTTGTTTGAAAGCAGATTGACTCGTAAATGTAATACTTAAAGCAGTGTTTCTCAACCTTGACAATTTTAAGGCATGTGGACTTCAACTCCCAGAATTCCACAGCCAGCAATGCTGGCTGTGGAATTCTGGGAGTTGAAATCCACATGCCTTAAAATTGTCAAGGTTGAGAAACACTGACTTAAAGGAATATTGCAGGATAAATCACAGTAAAAAAAAATCCTCAACAACTAAAATCTGCAATTATTTATTTATGCTAATTCATGCCATATTTCTTAAGGAATCCTGATATTTATCAGTAAGGTAAACATTAAGAACATGAATATATAAAACAATAAAATTCTCTGAAAAATTAAACTTCACAGAATAGGATGGTTATCCTAGTTATTCCTCAAACACTCTCCAGAAAAGCGACATTTTGACTGAATGTGAACTGATGGGTGCCAATCTAACCTGGTTGTTGCACAAAGTAGGAACCACCAGTAAGAACCCACATTATCTGCCCCAGCTCCCCTTCACTCACAGAAGTGGGAAATCATTAGCTGGCTCTTAGGGGACACATAGATAGGATAGTTTGATCCTAGCTTTGGGACAACCATGACCTGCATGATTGAGAATCTCTATAGATATCTGTGGCTGGGTTTTCTATCTGTACTTTCAGTTCCCAGATTTTCATCTCTATTCCTTTCTTCCTTTCTGCTTAGTCTGCTGCTTTAAAATTTCCATGTGGAGAAATAGCTAATATGGGAGAACCTAAAAAGCAGAAACATCATCAGGAATGGAGATTTAATTGAAAATGTGATGTTCCACGATATAGTTTCAGCTCCCTATAGAGCAAATGAATCGGGATAATAAGTGTTTCTATGTGCATATGCAAAATTCCTGTAAGACATAGGGCATCCAAGTCAGGTGCTATAATTTTAGGTTTCATATCATGTCTGAATGAAATAGTTCAGATACCTTCTAAAGGCAACCCCAATTTTCATCACTTGTTCAGGAAAAGCCCTTCTGAAGCTGTAGAACAGAGGTTCCCAACCGGGGGTGCTTGCAACCCCTGGGGGTGCGAGACAATATTCCAGGGAGTGCGAAAATTTGGGTTTTCAAAATGATAGTGTATATGCATAATTCGTTGCCATTATTTCAAACTTTTATAAGGGATGCGAGACTATATCAAAAGTGTTCTAGGGGTGCAGGGTATAGAAAAGGTTGGGAGCCGCTGCTGTAGAACATGTTCCTTGGGAGTTTTGTTTGGTCTCCATACTGCTTTCATTTGAACTCAGATAAACCCCTTTGGCCATAACTTTAAATATGTGTGTGTGTGTGTTTAATGTTAATATAAAATGAATGAATGAATGAATGGGAATTCTGGATCATATAGTTAGAAATAAAAGCACATATACATATATTATCTCCCTTGGTTGATTACTGATAAATATATTGCAATAATATATATATATATATATATATATATATATATATATATATATATATATATATATAATTTATATATATTTATATAGATTCTCCCCCTTGAGAAGCAGGCCCACAATCTATAAACTTCTACATCTATCTACTATATATACAAAGGAAACAGTTAACAAGTAAATCAACACCAATCTATTATTGTAGTCAACTCATAAAGTCTACAATGGCTTCTTATCTGCTCCAAATCACTACAATCATTATTTCTGATCCATCCGGGATCAAATATCTTCATTTAGTTTTTAATAAAAAACCTTTTCCTTAAGATTTTTATTGGAAGCTTTCCCAACTTCATCTCATCTTCCAATACTACACCCCTGCTGTCAATATTTTCACCACATCCATTGTTGAAACAGCCTCAACGTGAACCAAAATATAAAATATCTTGTCAATTGTTGTCTGGTTAAATATAACAAATCCATTTTCCAAAATAGATCCATCCTCCTAGAAAAGTCCAATCCAAATTGGTGACCATTTGGTATGCTAAGTCTATCTTCTTAAGAAAATCCAATTCATCACTCATCAAATTTGCTAATTCTAAGCCTATAAAATGCAAATCTCCGCAACAGGCCTCCTGTTTTCTAGCAAAACTGCTCCTTTTTCAGATATGCCAGCATGGACTTAAATTCCAGTCCATCTAATTGTAGGTCTGGCTTGGTTGTGATTGTTTGCGTCTGGGTATTATCTTTAGCTTGGTTTGAAACCCAGCTAATTTTATCAAGCTTTTTACCAAGGTTTTCAATTTTAACTTAAACATATTTTTTTCTGCAAAGATAGCCCACTAGGCTTTATCTTTAACAGTGCATTATTTACATTATTAATATAAAACAGACTCTTTTGTATCTGAATTTACAAAAAAAAACATTCCTTTCAAAGACAAAAAAGGATAAATGTACTGTAACAAAATGGTTGCAGAGAACACTAAAATGATATTTCTCACAATGAAGATGTGAAGAAAAAAGGTAAAAGTTCCATCAAAAATTAAAAAAAGAAAACTATCCAGACCAGAGCTTTTTAAGAGTTAAATCTTGTAGTGAAATCCAATATAGATTTGGTTAGTTTTACTACTCAGAAAGTTGTCAATAGGAAAAGCGAAAATAGTTCAGAGCCAACACAAAATCAGTAAAGCAATGAAAGAAAGTTAACATTAAAATCCAGCAAGGAGTAAATCAGCCTTCAAACAGTCAATTAACTTTTAAAAATAAGAATCAAATTAAAAGCAAAACACATTGAAACATGCAGTAAAAAGCCACGGCAAGCTTAAAAAAACCAAAAAGCTGAAAGGAAAGATGGAGACCAGGACTCTCCAACTGCCCCTACCAGGAATGCAACCTCCAGGATTCCTCCTCCCAGGAGTGTCCACCGTCATTCAGGAGTTGTCTTGGGTCATGCTTAGCTGCTCCCATATGAGTGTTGTATTTTTTTATCCTTTTCAATGCACATTTTTAAAATCTTCAGTCCATTTTTTTTATTAAAAGTTTTACAATTTTACAATAATATCCCTCACCCACAACCTCCCAATCCACCCAACCCCCCCCTCTTCCCAGAGCTGAATACAGGGTTAACAAGAACTAAAAATACAAAACATTTAAACTTAAGTAAACCTAAAACAAAAATTACATTAGTAAAAGAAAAAAAAGAATCCAATATATATATATATATATATATATATATATATATATATATATAATAAAAAAATCCAATATATATATATATAATAAAAAAATACTTATTGTCTTAAACTTTAAACTTTAAACATAAATTATTCAAAAGCTAAATAATATCTTTTAATATCATACTTATACTGTATAAAGTTTATCCATCTTTTCCACACCAAAAGGTATTTCTCTTGCGATTGATCTTTCAGATAAGCAGAAATTTTTGCCATTTCAGATAAATAAGAAACTTTAAAAAACCATTCCTCCAGGGTAGGCAAAGATTCCTGCTTCCAATATTGTCCTATCAACAACCTTGCCGCTGTAATTAAATTTAACGTTAAAATAATTTCTTTATCATTACAATCAACAACAATACCTAACAAAAACAATTGTGGAGTAAATTTTATCCTTCTCTTAAAATTTTTTGAATATTCCACCATATCTTGATCCAAAAAGCTTTTATACTTTTACATGACCACCAAATATGGTAATACGTTGCGTCCAAACAACCACATCTCCAACATTTAGGTTGCAAATTTGAATACATACGAGACATCTTTTGTGGATCAAGGTGCCATCTATAAAACATTTTATAAAAATTTTCCCGTAAATTTTGAGCTTGCGTAAATTTAACATTCCGCACCCAAATTATCTACCATGTTTCTAATAAAACCGGCTCATCAAAATTTTGAGCCCATTTAACCATACAATCTTTAACTAATTCTGTTTCTGAATCCAACTCCACTAATACATCATAAATTCTTTTTATATGAGATCGACTTTGATCTTTAATTTGTTTCCACAGATTTTCATCCTCTCTAATCAAACCCACTTTATAATCTATCTTCCACCTTTCCAATAATTCATCTATATGTTTTAGTTGCCAATTCTTCCCATCCCAATTAAGTAATTGTTTGTAAGAAATACTGTCCATCTTCACTCCTTTCCTTATTCCTTCTATTGCATGCAGTCCATTTTTGTTTTTGTTATTGTTGTTATTGATACATATATCACACACAGACACACACAGACACAGACACACACATAGACACACATATTGAGAATTCAAGGATTCTCTAGGGACAATGAGCTGTACATTCTTTTTTAGTTACATTGATAGTTTTTAAATTGTTTTCTGGTTTTTTTATATTCTTCAAGTTCGTATTCATAAGTTTTGTTTATCTTCTTTAGTTTTATTAAAACAATTTTTAAATAAAAAAACAGTAATAAAAATAAGTCAATCTGTTGGTTGAAAGATAAGCAGTATTGGTTTCCTTCAATCAAGGAAAATGATTTAGAGGCACTATACTGTTCCAGACAGAACAACTTGCTTCTCTGTCCAATCTAGTACAGGTAGGTAACTCAATAGAAATGATTATAAAACAAAAAAATGTTTATTCAGAGGAATACTTGCTTTTACGATGTTGCTTCTGTATATTATATCTCTCTGTTCATTTCCATAGGTAAATTGATAATGGATTTTCCCCTCTTCTTCTGCATAAGCATCACATGTTGGCATAAGCATAAGATCTCCAAGCCGTGTGGCTAGGGGCCATGAGGCTGGAGGAACAAAGGCATTCCCATGTGGCTTGTGTCCAGGAAGTCTCCCAATGCCCTTTAGAAACTCTTCCCACTGACCCATCAACAAAACCAGCATTTAACCCAATAACTGCCAAATATTCTAACATACTGATACATGCTCTCTAGTTAGGGTTACATAGAGCTATACGAGGTTACATAGAGCTATACGGTTCAGAACAGGCACATTGTTGTTTTTTGTCTACTAGCAGGACATGTACAGTGTCATGTGATTTTAATATTATTTATTTGTGTTGGTTTTGAATGTAGTGCTGCCAAGAGGATTGGTACTCTGTTTGTGAATGTTGATGTTACCTCTGAGCCGCATGAGGTTTCCGCTCTCTGGTTCCTGTGGTATGTTAAACAGTGTGGAGGTACAACCAGAATATTTTCAACAACCAATGGAGGCCAGGTGGAGTATACTGTTAATTTCTTTGCACTACTATGCATCCTTCAGGGCATTTCTCAATCTGTGCAAATCCTACAAAAGTTCTTCTCATGGTGCCCCTGGAGTAATTAAATGAGTTTCCATTCTTTCAAAAATTGATTTGTTGAGTCTGGGGTTTAATTGAAAAGTTGTGGTTTATTGATCAAACACATCTGTCGCATTCTAAAGGTCTGTAGTTTAATTCTTGATGTTTCTTCACAGTTGGGGAAACCTTCTTGTTTAAAATCTTATTCTGGGCTTGCTGAGAATGGCTGTGCAATGGATTTGCATTTGTGTGTATATGTGCTTTTACTCAGATTTGATTCTTGGTGAATGTCTAGACAAGTTTTCTTAGCAACGTTTTGAGAAGTGGGTTTGCCATTGTCTTTTTTTTTTTCAGAAAGTGACTAATCTAAGATCACCCAGCTAGTTTTTGCCTAAGATAGAACTAGAATTCAGGGTTTCCTGTTTCTAGCCTAGTTTCACTACACCAAACTGGCAGAGAACACAAAATGTGCTTCCTTGAACGGCTGAGGAAACTGTCCTTTGGAAAGCTTTCTTGTTGTCACTGCATGCGTGTGCATATAGCACCACTTTGCTTTGCTGCATGTGATCAAACGGGTTTTCTTTTAAAAGACATGACTGCCTCAACCCTTTAAGGATGAGTACTTAATGCCAATATACTTTCCAAATGATTCAATTTACTACTTTCAAAATTGTTACATACTTATGTTATGTAAGTGTGTGAAGTATGTGAAACCATCCATTTTATCTGATTTTATTTACATTTTCTTCTGTTCTCTTCCCAGGAGAGGAAGTTCATTGGAGGCTCCGGACAAATTAGTGAAAGAATTATGGAATATCTGGGAAAACGAGTTAAATTAGAGAAGCCTGTATCCTATGTTGATCAGACTGGTGGAAACATCATAGTAGAAACATTGGACCATGAGAGATATGAGGTAATTTAAATATTGGAATTTTAAGATCTGCACTCCGGTTTTTGTCCTTATAAGGAAAAGAGGAAATGAAAGCACTACATACATTCTATAAAAGCAAAGCTATTAATTATAATTGGGTGCATTCCAATCACAAAAACTTGTTACTATGACTAAAAACAGCCTGCATTGTCCCAATATGAGAACTTAAAAGCTTTTGCTTATTTGTGACGAATGCCAGTTTCTTTACACCAATAAAACTACAGCCTTAGAAATCATAATTCCACACAATAACCCTTCTAAGCAACATGAAATTATGGCTTGAGACACTTGTGGGTAAAACATCAATCTGTATAAACCATGGATTTATCAGTCTTGGAAAAATGGCAAATATAAAAATGAAAAGGATGAAGGAATGCTTCTGAATGTTCAGATAACTGCAAAGTATATAAATCTTTCCATTCCCGACCTTTCAGTCAGAACTGAAGAAGCTTCTTGGATGAGAAGCGAAATGTTTTCAAAGAAAAAAAAAAGAACAAGCAAATCCAGCTGTCTTTTGGAAAAACACCTTTGAGACAAACCATGATCTGTCCCAAAAAGATGTACTCTGTGTGCAGAATGATTTCCAGAGCTTGGGGAAGGAACTTAGCAGAATAGGCTGTAGGCTTACTTTCTCAGAGGTTTTACCAGTGTATAAGGAGCAAAACGGAAAAGGCCAGCGCATAGCACAATTCAATATGTGGCTAAAGGAATGGTGTAAAGGGGAAGGCTTTGGATATATTAGTCACGATGTCAGTAGCTGGTCCAATCAAAAGATGTACAAAAGAGATGGTTTGCATCCATCAAAAAAAGGGACTGAGTTACTCGGCTATAAATTCACAGATTTTCTGGAGGGAAATTTAAACTAAACAGCGGGGACAGGGAGTTAATTGATACGGAACAACCCTGTCCCCGGCAATTTAAAAACTATAGGGCTATCAGTGCATGTAGCACAGATGTGTGTGTGGACAAGAATACCAACCTTGCTACCAATCAAAATGAAGCCTCTAATAGCGAGTGCCATATAAAGTGCACTAACCAAATAGGTGGTAAGACAATAGGGGAACTCAGGCACCACACAGGTTATGTAGAAAGGAAACACAGGGCCACCCACAAAGGACTCAAATGTTTATACACCAATGCACAAAGTATGAACAGCAAACAGGGTGAACTAGAAATTCAGGTTAATGAGGGCAGATACGATATTGTTGCCATTACGGAAACATGGTGGGATGAAACTCACACATGGAACACACAGCTAGAGGGATTTAAATTATTTAAAAGAAACAGACCAAATAAAAGAGGAGGTGGAGTTGCTCTCTATATAAGAAATAACTACATCTTCACAGAAATAGAGTACAACAATGATAAAAACTGTCTTGAATGCATTTGGGTCAATATAAAAGGGGGGGGGAATGACATTGCCATAGGTGTATACTACAGACCACCCAACCAAACAGAGGAAATAGATGAACTTTTTGCTAGTCAGCTAACTAAGGTATGTAGGAAGCACATCACAATAGTAATGGGGGACTTTAACTACCCTGACATCAACTGGGAGACAAACTCCGCACCAAGTGGAAGATCAAACAGGTTCCTGGCAAACCTAGCAGACAACTTTGTCTCCCAAAAAGTAGAGAATGGAACTAGGGGATTAGCCATTTTGGATCTAATTCTCACTAACAGAGATGAAATGATAGACGGTGTTGGAGCCATAGGAACCCTGGGAGGAAGTGATCATGCAATATTAGAATTCAACATTATAGAAGCACAACCAATAGAACACAGTCAAACTAGAGTCTTGGACTTCAAGAGAGCTAATTTCAATAAACTTAGAGAGGGCTTGGGAAGGATTCCATGGATGAGAATCCTCAAGGGGAAAACAACTCAAGAAGCTTGGGAAATTTTGAAAAATGAGATAATAAAAGCACAGTCTAGCACAATACCAACAAAGAGGAAAAATAACAGCTCTCAAAAGAAACCAGCATGGCTGCATAAAGAACTCTCTGACAAATTGAAAGATAAAAAGGACAAGTATAGAAAGTGGAAAGAGGGGAACATAACTAAGTCAGAATATCAGCAAATAGCCCGAGCCTGCAAAGATGAAGTGAAGAAAGCCAAGGCTCAAAATGAACTGAGGCTTGCGACCAAAGTCAAAAATAACAAAAAAAGCTTCTTTCAACATGTAAAAAACAAGAAAAAAGTGAAGGAAATGATTGGTCCATTAGTGGGTGGAAGTGGCAAGAAGGTGACAAGCAACAGGGAGAAAGCAGAACTATTTAACTCATTTTTTGCATCTGTCTTTACACAAAGGGAAAAAACAGACCAACCTATCAAAAATAGTGCCACAAAAAACAAAACAGAAACACAAGTTAAGATAGGCAAGAAAATCGTTAGTGAGCACCTGTCCAGCCTAGATGAGTTCAAATCGCCAGGACCAGACGGATTACACCCCAGAGTTCTCAAGGAACTGGCAGATGTGATATCGGAGCCACTGAACTATATTTTTCAAAGATCCTGGAACACAGGGGAACTACCAGAGGACTGGAAAAGAGCTGATGTAGTTCCCATCCTCAAAAAAGGAAAAAAAATGGATCCAGGAAATTACAGACCTATCAGCCTGACCTCAATACCTGGGAAGATCCTGGAAAAGATAATCAAACAACGAATCAACGAACACCTAGAGGCAAACAAAGTCATTACTAAAAGCCAACATGGGTTTGTCAAAAATAGATCATGCCAGACAAATCTTATTGCATTCTTTGACCAAGTGACAAAATTAGTGGATCAGAGGAATGCTGTGGACATAATTTACTTGGACTTCAGTAAGGCATTTGATAAAGTAGATCACAACCTACTACTTGACAAGATAGAAAAATGTGGGGTAGACAGAACCACCACCAGATGGATCCGTAGCTGGCTGACCGGCCGTACTCAGCGAGTGGTCCTCAATGGAACTGCATCTATATGGAGGGAAGTGTGTAGTGGGGTGCCCCAGGGCTCTGTTCTGGGCCCAGTACTCTTCAACATCTTCATCAACGATTTGGATGAAGGGATAGATGGGGAACTCATCAAATTTGCAGACGACACCAAGCTGGCAGGAATAGCCAACACTCCAGAAGACAGGCTTCAGATACAGAAGGATCTGGACAGACTTGAACACTGGGCACTAACTAACAAAATGAAATTCAATGGTGAAAAAAGCAAGGTTCTACATTTAGGCAAGAAAAACCAAATGCACAAGTACAGCATAGGTGGCACCATGCTCAATAGTAGTAACTGTGAGAGGGACCTCGGAGTCCTAGTAGACAATCACTTAAATATGAGCCAGCAGTGTGCTGCAGCTGCCAAAAAGGCCAACACAGTGCTAGGCTGCATTAACAGAGGGATAGAATCAAGATCACGTGAAGTATTAATACCACTCTTCAATGCCTTGGTAAGGCCACACTTGGAATACTGCATCCAGTTTTGGTCACCACGATGTAAAAAAGATGTTGAGACTCTAGAAAGAGTACAGAGAAGAGCAACAAAGATGATTAGGGGACTGGAGGCTAAAACATATAAGGAACGGTTGCGAGAATTGGGTATGTCTAGTTTAACGAAGAGAAGGACAAGGGGGGACATGATAGCAGTATTCCAATATCTCAGGGGCTGCCATAAAGAAGAGGGAATTAAGCTATTTTCCAAAGCACCTGAAGGCAGGACAAGAAGCAACGGGTGGAAACTAATCAAGGAGAGAAGCAACCTAGAACTAAGGAGAAACTTCCTGACAGTGAGAACAATTAATCAGTGGAACAGCTTGCCTCCAGAAGCAGTAAATGCTCCAACACTGGAAGTTTTTAAGAAGAGACTGGACAGCCATTTGTCCGAAATGGTGTAGGGTTTCCTGCCCGAGCAGGGGGTTGGACTAGATGACCTCCAAGGTCCCTTCCAACTTTACTACTATTACTATTACTATTACATGACCTGAATGATTGAGAATCTCCATAGATATGTAGTGGCCCATCCCATTTTCAAGAGACACTCCCTGAATCCAACAATACTGGACAATATTTATCAAGTGTCTCTCTTTTTGGAAAGGTTGTTTAGAAGTGATCAGTTTGCCGGTCCAGCTCCCCCCTTAGGAAACAGATTATCTGGGCCCTTTTCTGTCAGTTTCAGACTGAGATATAGTACCAAAATAGCACTGATCACACTTTTTGATGACCTTTGACAGAACTCCTTGATCCCTCAGCAGCATTCGATATTATTGATCATGATATTCTTCTGGACTGGGTTCAAGGGTTAGGGAGATGAGATATTGTGGTGAATCTCCTCCTTCTATCAGAGCCAGTTACAATAGGTGTTGATAGCATAAGGGAGCGGGATCTCATCTAGGCTCCTGTTTTGTGGAGTTCCTTGGGGTTCTACCCTCTCTCTCCATTACTATTTAATATCTACATGAAGCTGTTTTGTGGCATGAAATTAGATATCAACAGTATGTTGATGATACTCAGTTAGACATCTTCACCCTGGGCTGACCAAGTGCTACCATCAAGATTGCTTCCTGGTATCTGGAAACTAAGGAAGTCTGAATAAGGAAGGTCAGGCTTTAGTTTTTAACCAAGTAAGACTGAGTGAGTTTTAGGAGCTTCCAATTCTGGAGACTTTCCATCTTTATTTCTGGGTGAGGATGTGAAATTTGGAGGTTCTCTTGGTTCTTCTAAAAGAGAAGTATCAGCCCTGCCCAAGAGCTTTCTCCAAATCCATCTTGAACACCAATTGCTCCTCTTCTTGGATTAGGAGGCCTTACTCACAGTCACTTATGTCTTGGTCACTTCTTTTTTTAAACTATTACAATGTGCTGTACGTAGGGTTGCCCTTGAAGACCATTTGGAATCTGCAATTCATCCAGTATTCTGTTGTGCTGGTGCCTATGAGCACATCATAGTATATCTTATGCAACATCATTACTTTGCATGATGCAGAGATTCCATTTAAGTTTCTGTAAGCAATTCAGAGTCCTGGTTAACATCTATAAAGGTTCAAAATTTTGTTTTTTGGGGATTACATATTTCTGACTGTCTCTGCCCATACCACAGGATTGGTAGGGTGGTTATGTTTCAGATCCCTTCTGTAGAATTATAGCAATAGCATTTAGACTTATATACCACCCCATAGTGCTTTACAGCATTCTCTGGGTAACTTACAGTGTAAGCATTATTTGCATATTGCCCCCAACAATCTGGGTCCTCATTTTACTGAACTTAGAAGGATGGAAGGACCAAGTCAACCTCCAGCCCTGCCAGGATCAAATTTCAGACTGTGAGCAGAGTTTGTTGCAACTCTGCACCACCAGGGTTCTTTTATGTCACCTAGCAGGACCTAGGAAGCTTGCCTTCTCTGTTGCAGCACTTGCACTCTGAAACAGCGTACTGCATGAGATGTGGTTGGACCTAATCCTGTTGACCTTCCATATGATCTTGAAGACTTAACAATAGTTCTTCCCTTAGGTCAGAGTGTTGAATGATCTTGATCTGTAATAGCTTTGAATTTAGTATATGTGGGGTTGGCCTTAGCTGTGCTATACTGTACTGTGTATTTCTGTGTTTGACATAGATAATTTTCGTTTCTTAACTGTATGTGTGCCACCCAGAGTTGCTATCTGTGAATTGGGTAGGCATATCAAGCAATCAGGTGAGATCAAGACAAGACAAGATCTTGTTAACAAGCCAGAGATTCCAATTCAATCCTGCCAATTGTGTCTTATTGTGGGACTCAGTTTTCTTGATCTGCTATAACTGGGACTTTCATGCCACAGAAGTGTGTTATTGTGTTATGTAATAACAACAATTAACTTTGTTTGCATTTCTTTTCCAGACCCAATATGTTATTAGTGCCATCCCTCCTGTGCTTAGCCTGAAGATTCATTTTAATCCTCCTTTGCCTTCAATGAGGAATCAGATGATTAATCGGATTCCTATGGGTTCAGTGATCAAGTGTATAGTATACTACAAGGATGCATTCTGGAAGAAAAAAGGTATTTCATGTTAACTGAATGGGCAGGGCAAAGGAGAAAACAGGGACAATGCTTACACTTAATGTATCAATTCCTACTGTAAGATTTTCCACTTAGCCTCACAATTGCCCCAGCATTACTCAGGAATTTAAAAGAGCCAAAGAAACTCCTGAGCCGAAGTGTCAGCAAGCAAACAACTTTTATTTTGATCAAAATAGAGTTGGGTGACCCCATCTCTCTTCGTGGCTGGTAGAGAGATGAAGGCAACAACCAGAAAAGATGTCTTCCACCTTTTATACCTTTTCAGAACAAAAAGATCAGGTCTTGGTACTAGGCATAAGATGGCACAAAAAAACAATTCCTAGATGATGATTCATACACAGCAACCCAGGCTCCATCCGTAATTCCTTTCCCCCTTCCCTTACTGTGCTCTTTTATATAAGCAATCACCTATACCTAAAGCATGAAGCCCTTACTTTTCCAATATATATATATATATAAAGCATCTGATAAGCAATTAACTACAAAATAATGATTACAAAATAACAAAACAATGATTACATGATAACACTGTAAGTATCAATATAAAATGGTTACTATATATAAAATAAATGCTAATATCAAACTTAAACATACTAAAATCATAAGCACAATAAAATCGCTTCACTACTTTTGTGAAGATCTTCAAGAGATTTGTGCATGCAAATGTATGGCTTTACCTTATGCTATATTTCATTAGTGTAAAATTTGGAAATCTATCACTAAGGCAAATGTATTGAAAATAATATTGTGTATGCTTTTGTGGTACTACATGGGCATCAAATTTCAAGGGGGCACATACAGAGTTGTCCCACAATATACTATTGTTCTGTTCTTACGCCTTTTAGCTTCAGCAGGATTTTGAAAGACATGACAAACATTTGCCACCAAAAGTGGGTTGTAATAATTATGTAATATTTTAAAACAAGCAAGGAACAGGAAAATAGGAAAACAGACCATGTATATTAAAATCAGTGAATCAGAATCACTTACATGAAATATTAATAAAAAAATCCACACACACACACACACATATATACACACATGCACAAACACACATGCATACAAATACATGTCATTTATTTCTATTTTTTTACTTTCAATTATATCAACCAGACTTCCTTGGGATTGATGAATGTTTTAAAGATGGTGTTATGTTTCTTATCTTTGACAATGCCTGTGGTGCACTATAGAGAGGAAACACCTGGTGATAATTCTTTATGATTGCCATTTGTCAGGAAAACAAGAATCTGGCATGCATTCAGACAATATCTATGGATCTAAAACAAATGAACAATCAAACAAATACCATTTTGCTCGCTCACACAGTTACATAATAGAAATGTGATGTTTAGAAAATCAGTGATGATGGAGGTTCTGAAGCAATTCTTATAATCCTATAGTATTTTTTTTTAATCACTGCACAATTCTGAGTCTAAGTCATTTATACTTCCCATACAATTCTGAGTTCAACTCAACTCACAGTATCCATACATGAATAGATTTTAGGATGATGGAGAAACAGTTCTTTGTGGGATCTTACCAAGAGGTAGCCACTCCTGATTATCCTAACAGTTCATAGTGCTATTATAGTATATGTGTTTTGTTTCAAAAGAGTTGCAGATATGCCAATTTTTACTTATTGTCATAATGACCATTGCAATAAAACACTTGGCAGCTTTTATTTAAAGGAGTATCATATTCACTAAACCTAGTAGAGATGCTAATATCTTCCTTTTTTTCCAGATTATTGTGGTTCCATGATTATTGAAGATGAGGATGCACCAATTGGGTTGGCATTAGATGACACCAAACCCGATGGAAGCTTTCCAGCCATAATTGGGTAAGAATTACTTCAAAGCTATCAGAGATGAAGGGTGAAAAGCAGGATCCAAGAGAGAATTAACTATGTCTTGAGTAACAGTTGTAACTATATTGTACATTTGTACACTTGAAGCATGAGTATTCATCGATAAAAATATATACAATAGGTGCTATATGTGGGTTACAAATAACAGCCTCTTTCTTACCTTATTTTAGGTAGCAATTGTATTGTAGTGCCTTTGTGTGGGTTTTATGGATTTCACCCCTAACTGAAGAAAAAAAAACATATATTTCCCTCTCTGTAACAATTTGGAAGCATTGATTGAAAATCCAGCACTTCTTCATATTTTGAAATATGAAAATATGCTATTAATTGGAATCTGAAAATTTTGGAAATGTGTTTTAGGAAATCATATTAAAACTTAACTGACATAAATTGATCATGTTATTAAATGATTAAATGGTAAGAGGAATAACATTTATTTCTTCCATTTTTTTTATTTTAAATTTCAGTTTCATCCTTGCCCGGAAGTGTAGAAGACTGATTAATCTCACCAAGGAAGAAAGGTTTGAACCATAAATCTTAATGAATTATATTTCTAGGTGTAAAAAAAAAAGGAATGTTTTTTTTCCCTATTTATTTTCATTCATTGGAAAGCCAAGGAGAGGCTTTCTATCTAGACAGCTTCACAGAAAATCAAAGTCGCAAAAACCAGATCTCCACATTAAGGCCTTTTCTCTGTGGGAGACTTGGTATTTCAAACATTTTACCCTCAGGATCTTTATCATTCCCCATCTACTGACATTTCATAATGCTGGGAAAACAACTTTATTCAGGTGGACTGAATGTACTTTATTCAATGTACCAATACACAAATATATTTGCAGCATCAAAGTTTCCATTTCACTCTAGCCAAATCAACAGATAGTTGTTTTGGTTTTAATCCAGTGACATCACAAGCACAGTCGTATTCATACTTGATTCTATTCTCCTCTAGTACTTTGGCACCCATCTTCTGACCTCAGGTGCTCATATTCTAGTATCTTGTCTATTTTCTCTTGATTGTAAATGTTGATTAGGCTTTCTGGACAAATTGAAATTGGTCACCATTTCCTTCTCCAGTGAATTGTATTGATTCCTTATAGCAAGGGTGTCAAACTACTGGCCTGTGGGCCAGATGCATCATGGTGAAACCGTGCCCACCCCATTGCTGGCAATGGGGAAAAAGTAGTGATACATTGCGATACATCACATGATGTTGCAAGTTTGACACCCCCGCCTTATAGGAATCTCTGCTCTTGACAGAATCATACGTACTATCAAGCTCCTCTATCTCTACATGGTATCTATTCACAGAATAGAATATTAACATATCTTTCTCAATTCTTGCTTGACACTGAAAACTAATAAAGCAACAATCTTCATATCATTTCATTTTTTTCTGCAGTGTCAATATTACTTTTTATATGTATCTATTTTTGATTAGTAAAGAGGATGTATAATCTCTCTATGTCTCTCTCTCTCTCTCTCTCTCTCTCTCTCTCTCTCTCTCTCTCTCTCTCTCTCACACACACACACACACACACACACACACACACACACACACACACACACAAGATACCATGTGATTTCAGAAGATTAGCAATTAAAACCAGGATGTGGATCATTTTGTCTCATCTGGGATAAAAATATTTGGTCTGATGCATAGTTAATTATCTGACTGAGGATTTATTGATAATATTAACAGCACCAAACAAACAACCATGTTCCCTTTTAGCTCATGTGCATGGTTAGACCTCCCTGTTCTCTCAAGGATCATATAGTATATGGGAAATCTGTCTAAACAGGGATTACAACTTTCATGCATGGATACAAAATATTTCTTTTGGGCAAATAGTTGAAAAAGACCCATTTGTGGAACTACTTTGTGCTAAAAGGCACCGTATGATGCACTAGTCAACTCCTTTTTGAACATAGAAACTCCCACTGGTCAGCTGTTGGCAGGAAAACACATATGCCTCATCTTCTCTCTTTGAATGGTCATTTGCAACATTTTTGTCAATGGTCCCAGGTCCCAGGCGAATACAAGGATCTATTTGTAGTTGTTATGTCTCTTCCAGTTAACAACTACAGTACATGCAGATTGCAGAAATTGTTTATATATGTGTTCAGTTTCAGAGACTTGGCTTTGACAAAAAAAGAAAGAGAGAGACCGTGGAAGGCAGTTTCTATGATACAGCTTCAATCCTTGCAAACACAAATCATTAGCAAATCTTAAAAGATGTTTAAAATCCTAACTAAAGCTATTTCAAAGAGGCAATGTATATCTCATTAATGTTTCTCTTACAGGAAAACACAGATCTGTGAGCTCTATGCAAAGGTGCTGGGAACACAAGAAGCCTTACATGTAAGAACTTAATTTCTGATATATCAGTTTTTTTTAAGTAGCATTGAAAATTCATGAACCTTAGCAGATACATTTAGTGTGCCTAGAGTTGGAGAAGCCAAACTGAAGCTAAATTTCAAGATAACGATTGATTTCAGTCATAGGCCAGGTCAGCAAAAGCCCAAATGTGAGGGCAAATTTAATTATTTATTATTGTCAAAATATCTCTAGGGTCTGCTCCAATTGTGTAAATTGGGTAAATGAGGAAGCTGGTAAGTGTACATTCAAAGAAGCTTCAGATATTATTTTATGGTTCAAAATGTGAGAGATTATTTAATACACTTCAGAATTAAACATTGCAAGTTAATAGCTTACAAAATATAAAAATAGTAATCCAACAGTTGATAATTTTAATAGTCTATTCTTGTACCACTCACATACATCAAGAGATCTGGAAATGGAGGAAGAAGGCAAATGAAGAAGTAAATATAAATCTAATATATAAATATATAAAATAGAGGATTTGCAGATGAAGTTTTTTATTGAATAAATATTCGGCTTCCTTCATATAGTTTTGTGAAGAATTTCCATATGAAGAAAAGTAAGTTTCTGTAGAACCTGTTCTTGAGATCAATTTTTTTCTTTTCTGAAAAAAAAAATTACATTTTTAAAAATGACATGTGAGGAAAAGTAAGCATAAGAAGCAAATGGATATTCAGTAATGGATTTCCTGTGTAAGGTGGATTTGTCTTGCCAAAACAGCTAGTTTGACTTCTCCAGTCTGGTTTCAGAAAGTTGACATGCATCTTATTTTATATCCAGCCTTAACACTGAAAACAAAATATTCCTGTGAATGCCTAGGTGGAAGCTCCACATACTTTAAAATTTTAATATCAGTGGCTGCCTGAGTTGTCCATTGAAGACCAAGGAAAATGCACCCACTCATTTAAGTACCTTCCTTTGAGTCAGCCACCTTGGAATGTTACAGATTTTGATCACATGAGTGCATAACGTTGAAGTGCATTATGTTTAAAAAGTACTAAGCATAACAAGATGCTATGTTTCTGTATCTGTCATTACAGATTTCTAATTACTGGGAACAAAGATGATTTAACTTTTACACTATCCCTTGTTTCCTATCATCTTTTAAAGTAGATTTATATGTTTGTAGTCCTTGGAGATGAAGTGACATGGGAAATTGGTTAATTCAAAGTTTTCTATTTATTTTGTAAAGTATCTATTTTTGCCTCCTTTCATTATTTGCTATTGATGATTTTGTAGCCAGTGCACTATGAAGAGAAGAACTGGTGTGAAGAACAATATTCTGGAGGATGTTATACAGCTTATTTTCCACCAGGGATAATGACCCAGTATGGAAGGTATGGTAATCATAAGTAAGGATGTTAAGATTAAAGGGTTAATGAAGAATATGAAGGACTTTATGTTCTGTTAATTCAAATCAATTTCTTTAGCTTATTCCATAGATATAATTTCTGAGGATTGTGCAAAAGATTGAAGTATTAATTACATACTTTTACCAGAATAATGATGGCATTTTGTAGCTATACACTATATAGGCAACAAATAACAACAAACCCTGCAACAAGAGTGTAATTGGGAAATATATTTAGGAATTATTGAAATTTATGTATCATCCTGTAAAATGCATATTAATTTGCAGTTAAAATCTCTATTTATAATGGGTTTTCTATTGTAACTGAGTAATAATCAAAAGTAATTATATATTAAACTGATAGATTTTTTTACTGTCTTTAATGCCTTGATCCAGTAAGAATGATGCATTTCAGTGATTTTATATCCATTTATTTACCTTCCCATTAAAGCTACTAGACCTGGATTGCATAAATATAATTGCTTTTTATGGCTATGATAAGTTTCTGTACCTCTCCCCATATATACAGAAGGATATTATGCTTTATAACATTTCTGCATAAAGTGGTATGTGTTGTAGCAAGTCATGCATGAAAAATTTATGGGTAATTAAGTATAGCCTTCTTGAGCAATATGATTTGGAGTTAATTTCAGAGTTCAGCAGGGCTTTGACATTATTGATAGATTACTTTGAAAAACAGCAGTCACATACACCCTATGTATGGTCCCTGAGTTCGTAGAAAAAGTTTTGATGAACTGCTTTTAATTAATCGGCTTGATGGATGTTTCTACATACCTATTGTTATGTTTTATTTTCTTTCTAAAAGTTTTATATATGTATCAGATGACTGCATCTTTTTTATAAATTACTCTTGGATAAATTATTTCATCCTTGTAGAAGTGGTTAGATGGTAGGTTAGTCTTATTATCAGAGTTGTGTTTCCTTTTTCTGATTTAATTAAGTTGAATATTGTTCTTTTTAGAGCAATTCCAAAGTACTAAAGCTGTTTGCATGCACCATCAGGCTACAAAAATACTCCTATCACAACTGACCACAGCTTTCTCCAGGGTGAGGGGCACATATAGCTTTCAAACCATATACTTTTGAAAAAAAATCCAAAAAGTAATAACTGGGTCCAGCGCAAAAACTATATGGTTTTATTTTGTTTACATTTACATATAATTAAAAGTTTAATGAAACTTAATCTGATTATTTTCTGGCCATATATTTAATACATTTTACCTTAACTCTTTAGAAACCCAATTTAATATTATAATATAGCTATTTAATACAGATAGTCCTTGACTGACGACTACAGTTGAGCCCAAAATTTCTGTTGCTAAGCAAAACATTTGTTAAGTGAATTTTGCCCCATTTTATGACCTTTCTTACCATAGTTAAGTGAATCACTGCAGTTGTTAATTAGTAGCACAGTTGTTAAGGGAATCTGGCTTCCCCATTGATTTTGCTTGTCAGAAGTTCGCAAAAGGTGATCACATGACCCCAGGACACTGCAAACGTCATAAATATGAGTCAGATGCCAAGTTTCAGAATTTTGATTGCCTGACCATAGGGATGCTTCAATGGTCATAAGCGTGAAAAACGGTCATAAATCACTTTTTTCAGTGCTATTGTAATTTCAAACAGTTACTAAATGAATTGATATAAGTCAAGGACTACCTGTAAAGGATAATACTAATTCTAATACGTATTTGAAAAATATATTAATATAAAAATATAATTATAAATATAACGCATTTGTATAAATACTGTAAATATACAACATTGCTGTACTTTTTTTTTTTTTTTTTATTGAAAGTTTTATAAATTTTACAAAAAAGGAAAAATAATACAAAACAAGAGGCAACATATACAGAAAAATAAAACTAAACAATACATATATTAAATAAAAAAAAAAACAAAACCCCATCCCCCAGCCCTCCCAAAAAAAAAAAAAGGAAAAAAAACCCTCCCTTCCCCCCCCCCTGAGCTTCCCAGAGCAGAATATAGGCTTAAAAAATAAAAATAAATATTAAATTAAAAAACTTTATATTTATATATATAAAAAAATTATCTATAATATATATGAAAATAAAACTTATGAAAAAACTATATAATATTTTTGTATACCCAATCTAAATTGTATAAATTTTATCCATTTATCCCAAACAGCAAAAAACTTCTCTTGCGTTTGTTGCTTTAAGAAAGCCGAAATCTTTGCCATTTCTTCCAGATAAGCTACTTTAAGAAACCATTCCTGCAATGTAGGCAAAGATTCCTTCTTCCAGTATTGTCCTACTAACAGCCTAGCGGCTGTGATCAATTTTAACATCAATACAACCTCCTTTGTATCACAATCTGTAACAATACCTAACAAAAATAATTGCGGAGTAAATTTTACCCTCCTTCTAAAAATTCTCTGGATATTCCACCATATTTTAATCCAAAATGCTTTTATCTCTCTGCATGACCACCAAATATGATAATAGGAAGCCTCCTTATAACCACATCTCAAACATTTGGGTTGCACGTCAGGATACATATAAGACATTTTTTGTGGATCAAGGTGCCATCTATAAAACATTTTATAAAAATTCTCCCTTAAATTCTGTGCTTGAGTAAATTTGACATTTCTCACCCAAATAATTTCCCAGGTGTCCAATGAAACTGGCTCACCAAAGTTCTGCGCCCATCTAATCATACAATCTTTAATTAGTTCCATTTCTGAGTCCAATTCAACTAAAACCCCATAAATTCTCTTAATGTGGGTTTGTCTTTGATCCTTCAGTTGCTTAATAAGATTTTCATCTTCTCTAAGAAAACCCACCTTGCAATCCATCTTCCATCGATCTAGTAGTTGCCTATATTGGAACCAAGAATAAGTAAAATTTTCTTGTGCTAATTCTTCCCGTGATTTTAATTGCCAGTTTTGTCCATCCCATTTAAGTAACTGTTTATAAGACACCATATCCATTTTAACCCCTCTTTTTATTCCTTCTATCGCATGCCAAGGTATAGCCCATAATGGTACTTTAAAATCACTTTTATAATATTTTCTCCAAATCCTAAGTAAAGAAATTCTTAAAATATGAGATTTAAAAGCCCAATCTATTTTTTTATTAAATATTAAATAGGCATGCCAACATTGCTGTACTTTGAAGTCCAATAATCACAGTCAATATATAAAAGGATTGTGATAAAAAAAGCCCAAATTTACATCTTCTTGAACAAGGAATTGATGGATCTCTTAGAGAATTCTTGAAGCTAGGACTGCAATTCATTCTTTCATCTGGTTATCACACCAGTCTAGACTTGGCTGCAAATTATATTCAGGGACTCTATAACAGCAAAAGCTTGACAGGCTTGATATTGTTTTATTGCAGAGAAAGAAGAGAAAGGCCACTCATTATAAGGCCATCTATTTCACAACAATAACTCTGGGTGATGTACAAAGGTTTAAACCCAACAATTAGAACAATAACCCATGGTGCCCCAGGTAAAGAGCATCTTCCAATCATAAAAACATATCAACAACTAGGGTAGCCTCCTGTCCTGAATGGTCAGGTCTTCACAGCTTTACAAAAAGGCTAATAGGGTTGAGCTGTCTGGATCACAATCCCACTGAAACGGCTAGAGCTGAATTTATTTTGGCCAGTTTTTCAGGAGATACAAGGATGGAGAAGTGGGGAAGAGGAACACGTGGTAGTGTATTATAATGCATCATTCCGGCTACATATCACTGCATTAAAGAGAAGTTTCTGTTTCTGCCAACAGAGACTCTTTCCCCTGTTACAAATGGAGGCTTCAAGGGGCGGGGGAAAATGTGCATGTTTATTGCATTCACTTAATACCACATTTAATTTTGCCTTGAATATCCTGGAGCAAGTTTCAAGTTGATCAGAAATAAAAGGGCATAGCTACTGCTATTTAGGGTGCATTGTTTATAATCAGAGGAATGTGTCCCTTGGCATTTCATGATCTGCACTTCTTTCCAAAGGATTCTTCGTGAGCCGGTTGGGAGGATTTTCTTTGCAGGTACTGAAACAGCTTCAGAATGGAGCGGCTACATGGAAGGTGCTGTTCAGGCTGGAGAAAGAGCAGCCAGAGAGGTTTGTTGCATCAAATAATTTTACTTACGTTTTCATGATGATTCTTTGTATGAATTTCCAACCCAACGCATCCTCAAGTTGGTCTGCATGACCTTCAGTTAAAAATAAATGATGTATTAGTCTTATAAGAAAAACAAGCTGTAGGCTGAGCTCAAGGGAGAGGGTCAAACACGTCATCAGTTATGATGCAATAAATAAATACGCTCATTTGAACTGCTGATTTCCCTGGCACTTGACACAAGCAAGCAAAAAGCATTAAATATCAAAAGCTAAAACCAAACTCATGGACACTGGATGTCATGTGTGCATTTAGGACTTAAATCAATCCCAGAAAAGGGCAAATGCAAAGTTCTTAAAAAGGCATCAGAGTATCAAAAGAGGAGTTGTACTGAGCTCCCTCTGGATATCCTAGCCTTGCTCAATTAGACCCTAAAGTTCTGATGGTGATAGGATGACTTCCAGTGCTGATGATTAAGGAAAATTCTCCAATGTAAAGGACAGAGAAAATGAAACTGAATATTAGAAATGGAGATAAAGCCGCATTGTTCTGAATTAGTAATCCAAAACAGTCTGTTTTAAAAATGAATAGATTGCTATATAGATGAGAAATCCAGTCTCATGTTTGTTGATGAGAATTTGAGCAAAAGAAACTGACCTGGCTTGTCTTGACTGCTTTTTTTTTTTAAACGAAATTGCACTTTTATACAAGTCCCATTTATGTCAATAAGATTTGCATATTTGCATATTTACAGTGCCTATAAATCAGCATTTCCGAACTTTGGCCAGAAGCAGGATATCTTTTAAAACAGCCATTGGAAAAGCTTTTGGTTGACTGTTTTCTACTTAAGTCTCAAATCACCTCTTTTTAGGTACTACACTCGATGGGAAGATATTCAGGAGAAATATGGAAATCAGAATCGGAATCACCTGTAAGTATGCAATGTTTTATTTGATATGGAATGTGAATTTAATACCCAGAATTAGAAAAGAGGCCATGTGGAAAGGGAATGATTTGGTCCTCACTCTGTGCTGAACTTCATAAATGAGCTACAGGCAGTCCTTGATTTACAACCATTTGTTCAGCAACTGTTCAAAGCTACATCATGACCTCATCACTTAGTGATGGAAGATCCAGTCTCAACTGTAGTCCTAAGTCGAGGACTACTTGTACAGTGAGTTAATTATAGGGATATAATTTAAATCTCACCAACAATATGCCTTTAACAATAGCCATGATAGCTCATACTGTAAACCACCAATTGATGTGACATGCTGAATAGCTTTTGTAAATAAATATGATTTTGGAACATCTTGCCCCCTGGAGTGAAGTCGGCTCCACCCCCACCCCCGACCTTCCACAAGAGCTTAAAGACATGGGCCGGCCAGCTGGCTTGGGGGTCCAATGGGGGCAGTTTCACATTGGGGCTGGTTGACAGACTAATAACGGATCCCCCCTCCCCCTCCTCATCCTACCCCCTCACTCCCCATCTTTACTTAGGGTTGTGTATTTATCTTTCTAATTACAGTGGTCTTCACAAGTCTTCAGTTCTCTCTCCCTTCCTCCCCCATCTCTCTCTCTGTAGCGTTCTGCTTGAAAAATGCAGACCACTCTACTTTAATCATTCCTACTCCAACCATATTATAAAACTGTAATTGTTTAACCTAAGAAAGCTGTGCTTTGTTGTTGTTTTCTGGTACTTTATCTTGAAAAAAAAGAACCCCTATTAATTCTGAATGTTCTTCCATCCAGGATGTGACAACCCTGCCAATAACTGCAACATTTTGGGAAAGGAACTTGCCTTCTGTTCCTGGACTACTGAAATTGATGGGGTTCTCTATTTTCTTTACATCAGTGGCTGCAGCTGGGCTCTTTGCCTATAAAAAGGATCTCTTAGTGCGAAACTGAAAACAGATGTGCTAATAGGAAACTATACAGTTTGGTCTGCAAATTTATATACATTAACACAATCATTTCCCTCTTGTTTAGACTGTTGATTGCAATTCTCTGTTATTCGGTCTATTAGTTCAAAGTGTCTTGGATCTTGTGATGGAGTCCAATATCTGTTTTCAAGGGCACTATAATTTGGCTGCTATAAAAATAATATAGTAATTGTCTGGAATCCAATTACAGGTAGTCCTCAGGATATGACCAGTCACTTATGACCATTTGAAGTTATGACAGACCCACCCCAAAGCTACATACAACCCTTTTTCAAACTTATAGCGGTTGTAGCACCTCCATGGTCATTCACCCTTATGATCGACCCTAAGGACACTGCAGCATCTCCTGGCTCTTCTTTCTCCCACCACCCTGGGAATCCACATTTGTTCAATAAAGAAAGCAAACAACAACAACCCCAAACTGGGAGGGACAGACTTGTTGCTCTTTCTTCCCCCACCATTAGAGGCTGAAACTAAACTCTCTGTCTCTGCCCTCTAATCTCAATCACTTTTAACAATTTAATTTGTTAAATTTACTGTAAATAAAAATCTATATATTAATTACCTTGATGAGTGACTGCCAGGCTGAAGAATACTGTAGAGAAAGGGAAGGAAGCAAGCAAAGACAATCTTTTTGCAGCTTATTTATCTTGAGGAGCTGAAGAAAAAATTCAGCTCCGAAGAAAAAATGGCAGCACAAACGCACAGCAAATGGCCATGGCAGAAGTTGGGTCCTAAAGGGAGTCAGACAGGCAGCAAAAAAGCAAACGCCCCAAAATGCTGCATTTCAGGCATTTGGTAATCATTTATGATCAGTTGCAGTGTCCTATGGTCACATAACCACAATTTGTGATGTTTTTGCTGATTTTGGGTTTTTTGCTGATTAACAACTATGGTGACTCACTTTATGAGACTGTCATAAAAACATAAAATTGAGTTAGGTGGCATGGTAACTCACTGAACAATTGCAACAACTTACAACCAAATTCCAGGATCAGTCGTGGTGGTTAAGTGAGGACTACTTGCATATCTTAATCAGTAATCCCATTATTTAGGATCAGTATAGAATAAATGGAAGAATTTGTGAACCTCTACCTGGCCCGCGAAACAGCTGTCTAGGGTTTCACTAGTTTTTTAGGATGTCAAGAAATATCTTTCATACTCTTTTATCTTAAGTATGAAATAATGGATATTTTTTGGCTTTTTAAAAATTTGAATACCTTTTTTCAGGATTATAATATTTTTCTTAAAAATATAATCACAACTAAGTCTTGCTTAAGGAGAGACAGACATAAAGAGGTGCAATTTTGAAAAATGTTTAGCTATAGTATTAGAATGTTTTTCCCTGTCTTCTTCTTCCCATTCATTTCCCACCTGACATTAATGTATTTTAATAGATTGAAAGGATTTCTTAATATCATGTTGTGTCTGGCTCCTCTTCTGATAATATTCAAGTGGGTGGTAAAAGCATGCACTGGAAAAAAGGGCCCTAAGCCCATTATTCATTCTGCATCAGAAAATGGGGCAGATCTAAGAAACCTCTTTAAAATGAATTGGTTAATCATAAAAATTAATAGGAGACTAAGAGTGTTGATTTTCTCCCTCTGAAAGTGGGAGATAGTGGCAAAGTTTGGTTATAATGTTTTCAGGATCTTTTCAGACTTTTTCAGGATCAGGGTTGCTGCTTAAAGAGTTAAAAGTCAGAAAAAGCTGCAGCCCAGAAGTAGCTATCTTTCTTTTTGACTCAGAGAATCCAGATTTTGCACATTCCTAACCTAAGATTAATTCTTCCTAACAGTTCCATGATTTCTAAAGAGTGTGCTGTATAATATTTTTTACTGATATACAATGCCAAAACAAAGGAGCATAATGTATGTATGCTACTGCTATTGTTTCTGTGTCTGTTTATTATTCTTACTATGTCATAATTTTGTGAGCCTCTTGTGATTACAAAGAAAAGCACAAGACTTCAGGACTCTCTCCAGGATCCAATTTGAGATAGATAAAATTATTTTTTCCATTAGCTTTCCTTCCTAACACTTCTTCAATAGACTTTATTGGAGACTCTTTCAAGAACCAGGAGCAGCTTTTTAAAGGAGAGAACAAGCAGATTTCTCTACCTCTCAACTCTGTGGCTTATGAATTAAGTCTGGAAAAGATTTACAGAGTTTTAGCTTAAATATCTGGCACTTTGCTCTCAGCAAAAATAGTTAACTATTCTGTTCAGGACCACTGTACTGTTTTGTATCAGACTTTATTGATGAAATATGTGATAAAACTGTTTAAATGTTGGCTATTAATGAGGTAACAAAGCAATCCTATATGGGGTGGGAAGTGATGTAATAGTTCCTTGCTGATTTCTTAATATATAAATTAATGAAAGATGGTGGCAGAAAGCAAACTTATTCTTTTCTCCAACAGTTATTTACTAATATAGTGGTCTGATCCTGGGAGTCCTTGAGAAAGAGAGAAGTTGATTTTATTTCTAGAAAAAGTTTTGGCTATACTGCTAGAGGTAGATTTATACCAACGAAGTATTTTGCATATATATCAAACCTCACTCTAAGGTAGATTTGTCCTCTTTGAACTTGTCTCTTCTTGTATTGCCCTTAGATTGATCACCAAAGGGGCTGCAGACTTCATAGAAAGCAAATTTCATTGAAATGGATCTAGTTCTGAATGAACATACTTGGAATTGCACTGTTTAGTATTTTTAAATTAAGTACTCTAGTAACCAGATGCTACAATCAGATATCATACTGAAACATATTTAATAAAACTGTGCCTTGTCAGGCACACACTAAAGACTTCATTTAATAAGTAGCATACTATAACACATTTTTCTCTTTGTCTTTCTCATAAAAAGAAATAGTGTAAATCAGGACTCAAGAAATTCAAGAAACCTGCATTTTCATTTTTCACTTGGGGGTGGGAGTAAGGAAGAAGTATCTTAATTTCAGTGAGGTGGTTCTAATATGCTGTTTGTAGATATAGAAGGTCAGGATTTGTTTGGGTCCCATGTTTACTTCTCAGTCTGAAAAAAGAACAAGTACTGTCTGTTACCATGTAATAAAAATAACATTCTAGCTTTTTATAGCCTTATGCCCTTTAATGGCTTGAGCAGTAACAGTAACTTTAGAAGGTGGCTGAAATCTGGGAATTTCAAGAATTATCTGCAGAGTGCCAGGCTGAAGGAGTCTGGGCTATCCCATGTTATGTTCTAACTAACAGAGGCTTTCCAAAGTCTCATGCACAGGATTCTCCCAGATCTGTTACATGAAATGTTTGTTACATGGAGGGAAGTAAGCACTGGGGTACCACAAGGTTCCATCTTAGGCCCAGTACTCTTCAATATCTTCATAAATAACTTAAATGAGTGAATAGAAGGGGAACTCATCAAATTTGCAGATGACACTAAACTGGCAGGAATAGCCAATACCCCAGAAGACAAACTCAGAATCCAAAAAGATCTTGACAGACTTGAACAATGGGTCCTATCCAACAAAATGAAATTTAATGTGGAGAAAAGCAAGGTTTTACCCTTATGCAGGAAAAACTAAAGGCACAAATACAGATTAGGCAAAACCTGCCTCAAAAACAGTAACTGAGAGAAGGAGCTTGAAGTCCTAGTGGATGATCATTTAAATATGAGTCAGCAGTGTGCGATAGCAGCCAAAAAAGCTAATACAATCCTTGGTTGTATAAACAGAGGCATAGAATCAAAATCATGTAAAGTATTAGTACCGCTTCATAAAGCCTTAATAAGACCACACCTGGAATACTGCATCCAGTTTTGGTCAGATTACAAAAAAGATGTTGAGACTTTGGAAAAAGTGCAAAGAAAAACAACTAAGATGATTAACGCCTGGAAACTAAAACATACGAAGAACTGTTGCAGGATTTGGGTTTGGCTAGTCTAGAGAAAAGAAAGACTGGGTGGGGGGGGATAGCAATATTCCAGTATTTGATAGGTTGCCACAAGGAGGAGGGGATAATTCATTTTCCAAAGCACCTGAAGGCAGGACAAGAAACAATGGATGGAAAATAATCAAGGAGAGAAGCAACCTAAAATTAAGGAGAACCTTCCTAACAGTGAGGACAATTAACCAGTGGAACAGCTTGCCTTCAGATGTTGTGGGTGCTTCATCACTGGAGGTTTTTAAAAAGAGACTGGACAGTCACTTGCCTGCAACAGTATTTAGTCTTCTGCTTGAATGGGGTTGGACTAGAAGACCTCCAAGGTCCCTTCTAGCTCTATTCTGATTGATTGGTTGGTTGGTTAGTTGAAATCATTTTAAATAAACATGCAGAAGAAAAAAAATACAAAGGAAAGGTTCAAGGTAAACTTTATCAAGGACCTAGCATTGTTTTGTTTCTCTTTCTTCCCTGTCCTAAACACCTAGCATGGGCAACAAAAGGGATAACTCCACAGCTTTAGTGACATCACAGCATTATTATCTCAGAGTACTACCAATGACATGAGTTAGGAGTAGTAAAATGTACAACAGTTGATGTCACTTAATATATTAATGAAATTAAATAACAACTCACGTGTTTGGTATGCAGACTTATAATATATCAATTTGGGTATAAATAAAGAGAATTCGGTTTCCAAGGAATTATTGTACAATTATTTTACAATTATTGTACTACTTGAAGAGTATGACAGTTTGTGCTTTTGTTCCTCTATAATGCCACAGGAGAAGACGTGGTAGGGAATTCTGGGATTTGTGTACATCAAGACATCAGGAGGGCACTAGGTTGGCAAAGGCTGCACTTAATAAGCAGTTGCCTATAATGGATATGATTGTAAGAATGCAACCTTTAAATTCTTGGCAGGAGTTGAACTGAGGAAAAAATAGATCCCAGATATAACTGTCATGTTTAAATAGGATTGTATTTGGGAAGCCTGTTTCATTTGTAGCTAAGCTCTGAGACTGCAGTTATAAAAATTCACTCTCAGCAATGCTTTTCCCTTTCTGACAAGCATTAAAATAGGTGACAAATACTGAGAACGTATTTCTTTAATTTGTTTTGTCACTTTCTTACTCATTTCGTGAGATGGATGAAAGCTGAAATTAATAAAGAAAATGAAACTGTTTCTCGTGGCTGAGCAAAAATAAAAATAAAAATTCTTAGCTCTTAGTTTCAGCTGTACAGTTTGGATTGCATAAACTGATCTAATCTATAGGCTTTGGTGGAAGAGCCTGCTTTGGGCAAAAGGCTGAACTAATTGAACTTTTGGCCCTCCTAGCTCTTATGTTTTTATAACATTTCTCAGAAGCAAGTCCAATACCTCAGTGTAACTTATATTGCAATCCAATGCGAGAGACCAAGGAACAGAAAGAATACAAAAGGTTACTGTGGGGAAACCACAGGCAAAAGTTCATCAACTGCTTGGCCTCTTTGTTCGGAAAGAACAAAATCCGAGGCTGGCCTGGATCTAGAGATAGCTTCTCTCTCGCTTTCCCTGCAGTCAGACAATCTGCCTTTCAGAACTGCTGGAAGAGCAGGGCTTTCTTTGGGACGAGCAGAATCAGCTTCCTGGCTTCCTGGCAGGTCTTTGATTGTAGAAATAACTTAAGATATCCTTGGATTAACCTAAAGGGAGACTTTGTTCCCAATTCAGGGTTAGGGTTAATAAAAACAGACTCCAATGCTTGTTTCATCCTCCTATTTTTGCACTAACACAACCAAGAAACATACCCACCCACACAGTTGTATTATTTAAAATGATTTTATAAGTTTTTAAAAGCAGAAACTAATGAATGATTAGGGGAAAATAAATGGAGAAGGGTTAAAAAGTAATTAGAGTGTTTGGAAAACTATAGCTCTAAATAAAACAAAAGATGAGAATATCACACGCACGCTGTGAAAGGAAAGAAGTAAAAGGAAAGGAAAGATGAGGAAAAATATAGCCTGGAAACTAACTGAAGGAGGAACAAAGCAGAATAGGAATGAGGATAACATCACCAAGCATACATTGGTTAGAGGTTGTTTACAGGAGCCAGTGATGTCACAACCTGGGAACACAAGTTGGAGGGCAGTAAGATGTAATTGTAAGTAAAACCATGTATATGTTTTCTGTTGCTATTCATCTAGAAGGCTACAATTGGATTGATTCTAAACTTCATTAACAGAAGTATTAATTACTGAATCTGATATTCCCCCCTCCTTACCAAGACTTTTACGTAAAGCATCAAAAGGTTTTAATTCTTGGTGACATTCTGCTCTTCGCAATGTAATGGAACTCTTAAACTATATATTGCAGCAAAGCTTCATGGAAATTTTGGAAACAAGGATAAAATAGGTTAGAAACATTTATCCTACTTGGAGTGAGTTAAACATTATCCCAATTTCCTCCTTTCCACAACTTTTGTCCTGCTGTTTATTAGTCCAGTGGTGGATTCTGAGCTATTTTGTTCACTTATGGCTTTAGCAAAGTATTTAGTTTCATCTGTAAATCTTCCTTATTGAAAAAAGTGTAAGCTTATATACATGACAGGCAAAAATGTATATGAATTGTTATATCTCCAGACCAAAGAAGGCCCATTCAGTCAAGCAGTCTCTTGATGTGAATTGGCTAGCTAGACGTCTTCAGAAAGTTCACAGAAAAGGCAGGATAGAGCTATCTTTTCAAACTAAGAACAATCACTTCTTCTGAGTATTCTATTAATGGCAATTAACATAAGGCATAATTTAAATAATATGTTAAGTGACTATTCTTTAGCAAATATTACTGGAAATGTGTTCTTAAAATTTTCACTGAGTCAGTAAAGGCACAATATATACTGCTGTAATTTACTTTAAAATAAGTGGGATTACATCTATATATGTTTGATCAGGATATGTTTGATCATCTCTATTTGATTATAGAATCATCATTTTGATAGGCCTTGATGGGTCAGTGTGCAAACATTTATGTCCAAGTGTGCATCCAGTCCTAGACTGGATAGCAAACAAAACCTCTATGCAGAGTATTGAAGTCAACAATTCTTGAGGGAGTCAAATCATGTGTTTCACATATGCATTCATGCACTCTGATGATAAGTCACATACACATGATAATTTTAAAAGACACTTCTACTATATACGGGTATCCTAATTTGGATATATAGGCATCAAAATATGCACCAAGAAACTAGCACATTTAATTTCTGCCAAGTCTCTTTTTCCAGATAAATTTTCTATTCAAACAAAAGTGCTTACAGTGCACAACATAAGAAAAACCTGTGTAAAACCTTTCACTTGGATCCATAGTGTATGAAGAAGCAGCCTTCTAAAACCGAAGAGCTATTTTTTAAAGTGATAAAAGTAAATATTTGATTCTAAGAAAGAGAAATCTTCATGTACTTAAACAAACTGCGCTGCAAAAGCTAATCCTTAGGAGACAAGACAATTGCTTTTGCAATTCTAAACAGTGCAATTAAAAGTAAGTTACAATTCTCCATTAAGTAAGTTTTACAATTGGCTAAACATAATGTTCCTTCCAGCATCTTTCCCCTAAAACTTTCTTCTGTAATGTGTTGCCATTCAAGAAAATTAAAAAATTTTCTTCTAGGATGGGAATTTTTAAAAAACATTTTTTAATGAAATACTTTGTTAGACCTAAACTGTTGTTGAGCCATTTGCTACTCATATATTGTCATGTCTGCCTTTTGTAAAACTAAAGTGACAGTCCAATTGCAAGATATGGATTTTGTAAGTGATTGTGCCTTATATAATTGTGCTGTTCCTCTAAAAGTGCCTCCGTGGTGATTGTGTTCATTAAATCTATTATATTCATTTTCCTATTAAATATGTGTTATGTGTATTTTTATCTGGCAGCGTGAACTTTTTTTAAACTCACACTCAAAAGAATAAACATCACTTTCTTTTGATTTGCTTTTCTTAATTTATTTGGCTGTGACAAATGATACAAGAAATTTTGTAGTCACTTGTCTCACTGATGTCTTGCCAAGAGAGTTGAATGTGAATATAGTCATTTGAAAGTGGAACATGTGTGTGTGTAGAGTTCTAACATTAGATTTCCTGTTGCAAATATCTTCTTTCACATTTATGAAGAAAGGGCTGAATTCACACCTACTGCCCTATGGAAACAGTTGCTTTCTTCATGGCTTATTGAATAGACCAGAATATAGTAAAAAAATATAAGGTGTTCAGCTGCTAGGAAAATCAGGTTGTTAGAAATATGAAGGAGGAAAGTGGAAAGTATGCATTCTTGAGAGACTGGAAATTTGTTTTCAACCCCTCTCCAGTGGAGTTTTGCCATGAGTGGCCGGTGATCAGTCTTAAATGATTTTTCTATTGCAGCCAATGTTTATTTTTCCAATTCTCCAATTAAAATCAATTAGTGTTCACTTTTTCACGTCATTTTTTCCTATTTTCTCTCTTTCTGTGTCCCTTATATAACT